TTCGTTCTTGTCAAGTAAACACTAACCTGCCATGTTTCACAGCCATGAAAATGATAACCTTCTCCAGGTTTTGGTCCATCCCAACCTTTTTTTTTTCCTCCCTCATCTCAACCTTTTTTTTTCCTCCCTCCCTCTTTGTGCATCTGAACCTCTAAGTACATTGATAATAAAATTTTGGTCACTAGCTAATCACCTTACGTGGACAATTTTGAATGAATTCTTGTAGCATTTCCCAAGCACCTCCATCACATACATGCCACCTCAGACAAGAAATTGTTTCCAAATAGGTGTAGTTAGACTGGGACCAGGTTCAGCTTTATCCCACGGGGAAGCAATAACTTAAAAGAATATATAAATTATCATTGTAGCAAGCACCTCAGCGTGGGGCATTTCTTTAGGAATTAATGACCTGAGAGGTTAATGGCCAAGGGCAAAGTTTCAGGCCATCAATCCTCCAGCCATTTGTTAATCTACAGGAAGTTCCTTGTGCCACATGCTTTATGGCTGGAAATACAGAATCTTGGGAAAAAATGCCATTTTCCCCAAGTTGGTTTCCTATTATTAATGTAATCTCCAGCATCTCTAATGTCTTCATATGAGCCAAAGATACATGGAGTAAAAAATAAAAATAACACATTTACTGGTACAGCTTCATAGTGTGTGTGTGTGTGTGTGTGTGTGTGTGTGTGTGTGAGAGAGAGAGAGAGAGAGAGAGAGAGAGAATGTAGCAACCAATTAAAACCTCATACTAACACAATGAAACGTTTGGGTACGGGACTTGAAGCACATCATTAAACCCACAGCATATATTTAGGCAAGACTATTGTGATTAGACATATTAAAATTTAATCAGGACTAACTTTCCTACTGTTGTAAAATCAACTTTGGAATTCAGAAATTCTAGTTTTAGTTCACCTCCAAAAATAGGCGAGATCCTTAACTGGCCTAAACCAACATAACTCCATCAAAGAATGAGTCGAGATGAGAACCCCAGCCCAATGCTTCTGACAAGGCAGAGACCTGGTGAGATCATCCTGTGGCATGTTTGCTCAGTGCTATATTGAGGGGAAAGTGTCACCCAGTGACTTGCCAAAAATGCTTCTTGAGCCACTTTGGATTTTCTTAGAGGTCTCCATAACTGTCTCAAGTTGGATACCTGGAAACGGAAACACCCTCCAATTCACTAGCCACTGCCAATAGTCTTGGCTATCAAGCTTTCAGTTTGAGGTGGTTCTAGCAGGAGACCTTCATGCACTATGAACCTGGCATTTCCTTTTCATATTGTCCCTGTAGGCTAATGGTTTCTCCAATTTCAGACCAAATTCATTGGCAGATGCAAAATGCTTGTTTTCATCTATCGAGTTCTTCTGTTCTCTGTTTCTCCTTGCTGCCATAGGACCCATTTCCTGGGCTGTGTTTGAGGCTGGGGACGTGGCATTCAGGAGTTAATCAAGCCATTTCAGTCTCTTTGTCAGAAAACAGTGCCGATCAAATGTGTTTCTATCAACAGCTGCCTTTTTCAATTATGCAGACAAAACATCAGCGGGACGGTGTGCAGTGTAGTATAGCCTTGTAATAATGTGAGAGGTTGCAATGTCTAGCAAATGAAGAAAGGGAGAGAGAGCGAGCTAGCTGAAGCTGTACCAGTAATGTGAGTGTTTCAACAGAGTCCATTATAGATAAGTAATAGCAGTGCTTCAGCAAATGAACCTTTTCAAGGGCACCGAATAGTTCCTTCCATAGGTCAGGCTGTCGTCTTGAACGTTAGATATGTTTCAAGCCCAGCGGTGAAGAATTGTTTTATCTATCCATATACTTGGCCATTTGTTTAAAGCTTTTTAACCTCCTGCCTGATGAGAAAAGGGCACTAATGTGATAACACCATTACCATGGCCGCCTGCTGTTACCGGTGGGGTCCATCAATACCTGGGTGAGATATGTGTTGATTTTTCCACTCTAGGTGAAATTTTGCCTGCATATGAAACCAGCTGATAAATATACCTGGTTGTGTGTTATATGCCATGGCTTTCTCCCTTCTTTGGGAAATATTTCACATTTACCTGGTGAAAATGAGCTAATGCTTTAGAACCAGCCAATAAAGAAAGTAGGGGGTTTTGGGGTCACTGTAATGAAATGTTGTAAGGATACATTTCAGTCTTTTTTTCATCTTCTGCCTTAGTCTGCATAGAGAGTATCTAATGCCTAGACCATAGAGAAAATGCCATCCACTCTATCAGGTACAGCCTTTAGACCTGACTCTGAAACCCAGTGGGCACATCCAGACAAGTGCACCCATGAACTTTGTGGTGCCTAAAAGGCTTTTGAGGTGCTGCAAAATGCACGTGACACATGTGAAAAGGTTCTCTGTGCTGCATATTTTCAGCATGGAGCCAAAATTGGAGACCAGGAAATCCCAATATCTTTTAAAAAAAAACCCAAAAAAAGTTTGAAAGAAAAGCGGGTGGTGCATGTGGCTGCAGGGTGTGCCACCTAAAACCAGAGCCTGGCCAGCCAGATTGGGCCCCTGGGAATAGTGCTCTACTTAATGGCTGAACTCCCATTGATCTCAAAGGGAGCAAGAACATAGTTCATAATCTGAGCTTTGCCCCCAAGCTCTGTGTTCCTGAAAGGATTTTGCAGCCAGTGTTTTCCCTATGAAGGTTCCAGGCATGAAAATGATTTTTATAGAGCCCTGATGAAATCAGTGGAACTCCTCATAGGGTACATACAAGTACCTGAGATGCAAATAAATGTTGAGCCAGTTGATCTTGATGCTTTTTTTTTTTGTTTAAATTTATTTTGGGACTTTGAGCATTAATAATAAAATCATTACAAGCCTCTTGGCGGGGGACTCAGGTTTCCACTCCATCCGACCTCTATGCAATTTCTATTATTTAAAAAAAAGAAAAAGAAAGAAGCCCTAGCCAAAGAGATGCTTGTTGCACATTGGGGAAATGTCATATCACTGATAAAAAGCCAGTATTAAAAATCAAACGCAGTATTACAATTTTAGTCGTATGAGTTTTGCAGCCAAGGTCTAATGAAGGAGTAAATTGAATCGCCACGCAAACATTTATTTTTTTATGCCATCCTATTGCTTGTCATCAGTGTGTGTGTTTAAGGCTAAGATAGACATTTGCAGACCTGTTGGCCCCCTCAAACAGTCAGTACAACTCGACTGTAGTCCCATTTGTAGATACACAGTTGGGCAAGGGGATGACTTGCTTGTGATCATGTGGCCACACAATGTGGAGCCTTCTTTTCTAAAAGCGCCAGTAGCACAGATGCTCCCTTATGCTCTGATTAATTTCTGCCACCTTTTTTAAGGAGCAAGTGTACTGTTGCAAAATGATGCTAGCAAAGTTTGTGGCTGATGATGGTAAATATGCATAAGAACATTAGGAGTGCCATACTGGGTCAGACAAACGATCCGTCTAGCCCAGGATCCTGTCTCCATAAGCGACAGAAGTGGATGCTTTAGTGGGAGAGCTTGTGAACAGGATATAGCAAGAGTGAGCTATCTGACCTCCGTGTAGCTAGTGATCTATCCCCTGTCACACCCTCCCTTGCATCTGTCATCATTGGTTTGGAGATGCCAGAGGTTACATCCCTGACTGTCCTGTTTAACAACTATTAAAGGATATCTCCTCCATGATTATGACTGGTCCTTTTTTTAAGCTGCCTCTACAACCTCCTGTGGTAATGAGTGCCACAAGTTGACTATGTGCTGCATAAAAAAGTGCTTTCTCTTGTCAGTTTTAAACGAGTTTCCTACTGATTTGAGTGGGTGACCCCTAGTTGGTGTATCCGGGTACTTGGTGAATAACAGTTCACTATTAATTTTGTCCAAGGCAGTTTCATAATTTTATAGACCTCTATCGTATCCCACCTCAGCCACCTTCTTTCCAAACTGAAAAGTCCTAGTCCTTTTAGTCTCTCCTGTCATGGCAGCTGCTCCATACTCCTGATGATCTTGGTTGACCTGCCCTACTTTTTCTAATGCAACTGTCTTATTCCCACTGTATTCATGATGTTGTATTTATAATATAATTGTATAATAATAATAACACCAACTGTTACATGGAACTGTTCATCAGCAGATCCCAAAGCATTGTACAAAAAAGCAAAGCACCGGTCAGCATCTGTAATATTTTCCCTACTTTACAGGTAAAAATCGATTTGTATGAGGTCTCCCACTATGTCAGTGGCAGAGAGGGAGAATGGAAGCATGGTTTGCTGAGACCTGAACCACTTCTTCATCCATTAGATCACCCTGCCTCCCTTCAATTAAATGCTCTGAAAATCTGAAGTTGATTGTGACTTCATATATTTTGATGCAACTGGGCCATATATTTTTGAGGGGAGGAGATTAAAAACCCAACATCACTGTGTAATGCAGCAAGTTTCAGGGTAGACATGAATCTTTCATGAAGGAGAAAAAAAGAGGAGTTCTAGCGGGCTGTAAGTAGCAGGTGGCTTTTACAGAAACTTCCAACAGCTTTGATATGTTTGGCACAGCTTTTAAAAGGAGAATTAAGTTGCTTTTTCCTACCAGTTTCAGATCTAGCTCTGGGGTTGCTTGTAAGTCTTTGATCTCTTGAAGACACAGAATTAGGAGTGTTTTCTCTTTTCCTGGTGACATTTTTTTTTTTTTCCTTTTCTAAATTACTTCAGTAGTGTGAATTTTTGTTTTTCATCAGGGAACAAGTTTGCCACAGCTGAAATTCACCCCTGCACAAAGGGCTTGCAAAAGGCTTATTGATCCCTTATTACTTTGGGCCATCAAAAGCCATTTGGCATGAACAGGTACTACCTAGGCTTAAAATTAAGCGCACATATTTCTGGACTGTGCCCTTAATCCCTCAAAGGGTGTGCATTGGGATTTTTGTGCTGGCTCTCTGGACAGTGATTTTCACCTGAAAACACAGCTTTGCAGTATGTGTGAGCTCCATTACATATTAAGCACTTTTTTTTCCCCTCATTCCTCTTGTTCTGCCCAGGACCCCAGCAATGATTGGGTGTTCGTTTGTGGTGAACCGGGAGTACTTTGGTGAGATTGGTCTGCTTGACCCTGGAATGGAAGTCTACGGGGGAGAAAATATTGAACTGGGCATGCGGGTGAGTAGCCAACTAGACTTCATGTAATACTCAAGTGCAGGGGGGGAAAGGGGCACTGCCTTCCAGCTTTCGGTCTACTACCAAGAGGCAGCTGGTATTGTACAGAATGTAAATCGGTCTCAAAAGCATCATGAGCAGCCAAGACAAGTGAATGTTCATGCCTCTGCTAATGCTCAGCAAATTCATGCAGTTCGGAAATATTGTTTATTCTGCAGTTGGGTTGAGCTCAAGGAGACAGATCCCCACCTATAACAACATAGCTGCACTGGTTTCAATGGAGCTTGTACTTCATTTGTCCGTTCTGTCCAGTCCATGTAGCACTTCTGTATGATGCAGGCAGTCTTATTCCCCTAGAAATTCAAAGGCCAAACTATTATGCTCCTCTAATCTGATATCCTGCATCATAACACTTTTCCCACCGCATCTAATGGCATGTGCCTTTTTAAATCACCAGTGGCCTCCTTTACAATAATGGCCGGGCATGTCCCAGCCACATGGCTACAGAGACTCCCTTGCAAATACATCCAGAATGCTTCCAGTGTACAAAGCAGCAGGATTTAGGGAGAGTGGCCAGTTCTGCAGTGGCGAGAGCTCACCTCTATAGCACGTCCTTACTGACCAGTGCACTGGAGGTGAGACTGTAGGATCCACTGCTTTGAGGATCTCATTGTTCACTTCCCTGCTCAGTATCCACCACCATCATGCATTACAAGATCTGCTCCGCTCTTATGGCTCAGTGGCTTGGCATAGAGTGAATTCATTCATTTCCTCTGATGTGTCTTCTTTTTCCCTTACTCCCCCAGCCTAACTACTCAGGCTGTGTTCTGGGCTGAAGATTTGTACCTGAGAGTTAGTGCTAACTGGGAAATATTTGCATGTAAAGCATCACTGTAGGGAGAGTGAGGAAGGCCCAAAAGAAGCCTAATTCTTGGGATGGTGCAAAATGTAGAGGTAGTAGTTAAGGGCAGAGTCTGTTAGCAGTAACTCCTAAATGCCTGTAGCAGGATTAATACAGTATGCTCCTCTGCCCCAATTGGTTCCAAGAAGCTCCATGGAAGTCTATGGGTCCTGGGGACACTTCTGAGAAGTAAGCCATTTCACATTTTTTTAACACAATTTTCCTCTCCTTTTATCCCATGCCTCAAGCGAACTTGTCCTCGGGACATGTAATGTGCCCATTAAAGGGTGTATTCTGCTCCTGCTGAAACATGGGGCATCAAATGAACCCATCTGTGATCCAGCTGTACTATATGAAATAAATACAAGCAACTTTGGTTTTTGTTGGTGGGTGCTTTTTTTATTTATTTTTTTTTATTTTTTTTTGCGTTCCCATGCTGGACCCTACACATGCTTGGAAGCGGCAGCGCATTACTTCAACCCAGCTCGCCTGACGTGGCTCCCGGGTGCTAAGCACCTGCTAATTCTTTTTGGTGGGTACTTGAGCCCCAGAGCAGGCAGAGTTGGCACCTATGAATGCAAGCCCCTTCACATTAACGGACTTGGGGAGAAGGTCATTGTGACAGGAACTGGTTTGCATATATTTGTGTATGTTTATTATTGCAGCATAGGAGGAATGGGTTTTCTTAATGGGACTATGTGACCAGGCTACCAATGGTTTGGGGAGGTACTGAAGTTAGGCATGGGGCAGGAAAACTGCTGCCACAAATCATTCTATTTTCCTTGAGAGGGTCAGGCTATTACCAGGATTATGTGAGCTCCTCAGCTTTCCTTTATCATTGTGCAGGCCTTTGAGCTGTTTGAAACCTTTTCCACATGGCTGCTTCAAGAATAGATTGAACGCCCTGGCAAAACTCTTGAGTAGCTGATGAATAAGCCTCATAAGGAATCTGAAAACTGTCGTTCTTCCTTATATGAGAAGAATTTGCAGTGTGTGATTAGGACTCTTGGTAAACAGAGAAAAGGGATTTAATAGGATTATGACAAGGTAGTCACTGCAGATTCAGGGGTGGAGAGAACCTGGGATATCAGAAGTCCTGGAGTATGCGGAGTTACAGGGAGTTGTAAAGTGCTCAGCCCCTGGTAGTTGTCTATATTTGCCCTGAATAGGGTGGTTAATCCTGCTGTGACATTTGAAGAGTGCTGTAAACTATATAGGAGCATGTAGATGTGTTCGGTCTCAGATCATTAACATAAAACATTAATTTCATCCATAGTATGGATCTGCTAATCTGTATTTTCATCTGGCTTTATGATGTTAAGAAAAAATAGTATGGATCTGTTAATGTGCAATTATCAACACGATGCCTTCTAGCATGTTTTGGAGCTGTTATGAAATTGTACCATAGGGATCATATGGAGTCTTCTCTTCTCTCAGTTTAGATATTCAATTGAATTTTCAAAGGGTCTTTCACTCCAGGATTGCAAAGTATTGGATGCCCTCATGGCAACCCTCTGTGTGCTGACTTCTGTTATAGCCATCTTGAAAATGAGAAAACTCTGTTCAAAATAAATGTCTGCCCAGGGCCATACAGCAAGGTACTGCAAGAGCCAAGGAAGAGAACGTGCACTAGTAGGTTCACAGTCTCTGTCTTGCATGCTTGCAGCCTGCTCAGATGAGTCCAGGAAAAGAACCTAATAGTTACTGAATATGCATGTGATGTTTAGATGGGATTTGTTCCTGGAACTATATACAGATATAGAGGAGGAGGCCTGGTGAGGTGGTGCAAGCATATGATTTGATATCTGGAGATGTGTCCTATTCCTCTTTCTGTTTCAGACTGGTATGACTCCAGACACACCCCATTAGGCTAGTGTCTTGCCTTCTAATTTTGGGTGCCAGGCTTCTAGGATCTTAGGAGGCTCCTTATTTCTAGGGTTGATGGAACCCGCGCAGATCCTGTTGACTTCAGTAGGACTTCCTGGTCTGTAGCACCTCAGGAAAATGAAATTTTGGGGGCAGAGGTCTGCTTTTTGGGGGGCTATGGCCCTATTTCAGGGCTTGTGACCCAGCTTCCAGTTGCCAGAGCAATACATGACCCCACTTGCAGTCTGAACCCATGCAAGGTAATTGATGAACAAGTCTCGGACTCATGACCCTACACATAAGGGTCCTGACTTCTAGTTTGGCGATTGCTGCTTTAGGATCAAGACATTCAAAACTAGCTGGGCCTCGCAGCGCAGCCAAGCACAGTTGTAAAGACTGGAGCTTGGGCTCCAAAAACCCTGATTATGAAAAAAAAAATACCAGTGGGTCGTCTTTTGCTTTTTGATCAGGGCGTACCTGATCAGCGGGAGCTTAAAGTTTACTGCTCACTTCAAACAGTGTAAATTTAAAGCGGCAATTCTTGTGTAATCACATGGCAGCTGGAACTTTAAGGAAAACACCAAGATATATGGCAAAGCAGTACTGCTTTGTGCTCTGTGTCTGTACAGTCCATGCAGTGACAGAAGGAAGTCTGCTTTCCCCTACTCCTGCATACCTGTACAAAGGATGTTCATAATATCAGTTAGGAGATTTTAGGCAGAGAAAAAGAAGTAAAGAAGGGGAACACAGAGAAGCAGAAAAACAAGCCAGTAAACCAATAAAAGAGCTGAGCACAATAACTACAAATGGTGGTGTAATGATACAAGTTATAATTTAGAGATGCTCCGTATCAGGAGACTGAGGGAATTGGGAGATGGTCCTTCAGTCAGAGAGCTGCTAGCTAGCTAACTAGTTGGTTAGATCCAGACAAAGGGTCTGTGGAGGGTGCCTACTGGTCCACAGTTAAAGTTTTGTTGTTTTAGTTCTCATTCATGTACGTCTTTGTTTTTTGAACTTGGTAATCACTACATGTGGGTGGACAGGAGAAAGGTAAGTTCTGTAGAAACCAGTGGGTTTTTAAAAAAATAAATAAAAAATAATCCTTTAAACTGCTTTGCAAACTAGTGCTATGGTAACATGAAAAGAGAAGGGATTAAGTTTCGAGTGCTAGAGTTAGATTGTTATGTCTAATGAACCTTAATTTAAATTATTTTAAGAAAGTGAAATTGGGAAAGCCAGCACAACTAATGATCCTGATTTGAATAGGATACCATTTGATAATCCAACTAATCCTCCTTGAATATATAATTTATTAAAAATATTATCTTGTGTTGTTCACTAATGGATTTTCCCCATAGAGTATTCATAGGTGGGGATTTGTAAATAGCTATCTTAAGTGATTTCCTGTTTCAAGGTACTACTGCCTAGACTGTATAATGCCCCCAGCCAGCTGATCAGAGCTATTCAGTTTTCATACCTGCTGTAGATTATATGGAAGCTTGGAATGAATGTCTTGTTCACTCTCAGTTCCTTGTGAGAAACTCTGCATTTTTCCCAGTGGTTGGCAGGAACCAGGGGAGTCCATTAATTGAGAGACTCTGCAAGTGAAGCCCATAGGTGTCTGTGGGGTTGGGGTAGTCCTGTTTTGAGGGGGGAAGAATTCTGGCCATCCTCCAAAATAAGCTTGGTTCTGTGAAAGGAAGAAAGGCATTTATCTCTGTTGACTATATAATCTCCTCCTGACCCCTGTTTTTCAAGTTCAACAGAAAACTGTTGAATTTACGGCTGAATTCTGCTCCTGCCTATGCTTGTAAGACTGCCATCGAAGTTGACTTGAGCAGTCTGTGAGTATGCAAAAGTAGATTTTGGCCTTAACTATAGATGGCTGCAGCTAGCCCTCATGTGAGTGGGAAAGGCCTTCCCCTCCCCACAAGACACACCCCGTATCCTTTGCACAGCCAGGTACAAATGCACTATTCTGCTGCCTAATGCCTTCCACTCCCACCTGAAGGGGATGGGGATGAAAGAAAGAGAAAGCAGGACTCTAGCCCCAGCTTCCTCGTGTTAAAGTCTGAAGAGCTGGTAGGAGAGGAGGTAGCATTCAGATGGTAGTACCATGCTAAAAGATAGTATTTGCTCCAGTATCAGCCCTTCTCGTGGAGACACAGTGTGCTTCATACATTGCAGGTCTGGGGATGCAATTTGGCCTTGGAAGTCTTGCAGTGTCCAAATGGTG